GGAAAATGCCTTGTCTCCTTTCTCCTGCTTCTGCTCCTCCTCTTCTTCACTTTATATATCAGAGCTAATCTGCCTTAAGGGGCTCTTTGGGCTTTGAAAATCCAACAATATAAGACTCCACATAATGATGCTTCTAAAACAGTCACAGATATGCAAAACCCTTCACACTCTTTACGTCTGAGCCTCCCTGGACACCTGTCGATTCACATTTTGGGCTCCTCGTCGTGTTCTGTGGAGTTAGATGTACTGTGGCGGAGTCTCGTTTACTCCAGTCTAAAATTAAAGCAGCAGTGCTTTAGTTTAAACATCACACAAATGTGCATATTCTGTACTCCGTACAGGATGTGTGTGCAGTATGAAATATGTGTCCCAAGAGTCACATCGGATGTCACATGCGTTAATCCAATATGATATCCTAGGATTTGGGGGGTTTCTTTTGGGATATGAACTTGTGTGAAGGTGAATCCTAAGACAGTGAGCACCTGTAGATTCAGATCTCTTCATCTGCACCTCCTTTCATCTGTTTTATAAGGACAGAATCCCTTTTGTGCCGATTGTGTTGCTAATGTGAGCAATAAATACTGGAAAAAAGAGAGTTTCGGTGTAAACTAGGGGGACAGCGGAGTGTTGACGTTGGTGAGTCGTCAGTGCTGCAGGCGATGGTCGCTGTGTCACCAGAAGAGAATCTGGTCGTGCCGGTTGCTCCAGTCCTTCTATTCTTTCCTTGTGCTGCGGCGGAGAAGGAGGAGGAGGGAGCGAAAGCAGCGAGGGTGCCGGACCTGCTCTGCATGGTAGAGAGAGAGAGAGATACAGAAAGAGGGAGGGAGGGAGAGAGGAAGGGAGGGAGGGAAAAGGAGAGTGAGATAGGGAGGGGAAGGAGGTATTTACATTCAAACTGCATCCGCCTCTGCCTGACACAGCAGTGAGACTGTGGTAGTAGACACCGCTCACGTGCAGCCGTGGAGCTGTGTGAATGTTCTGTTCACATACTGCACCTCTGACCTCTTCCCTTACCCTCCATACAATGTCGATGTCTACGTCACCGCCATTATAAACACCACATTCCCAGTAAGGTGTCCTCTAAGCTGCTGTATCGTTAGCAATTGTATGTTTTATGATTGATACGGTTTAAACTACAGGTCCATGTTCTTTTTTAAGGCACAGTCCCCTCAGTTTTAAACAGACATTTAACCATCAGTGAAAATGTCTCATTACAGCGTCCTAGGGTTCTTTAGCGGTTTTCAGGTCAAAGCGGAGGTTTTCTTTCCATTTCTTTGAGCTGCAGCAGATACTCTCACTGAGGTTTGTAGACGTTTTTTTTTTTATTTTTTTTGGCGTGACTTGTCACCCGAGCTATCGCAGCCGTGGTGCTGAGGGCCAAAGCCTGAGGTTTGATGGCGAGCTTTGGGAATCATCTCTCATCTGTTCAAATTTGAACCACTCATATGTGGCTCTGAGGGAAAGTGGAAGGGGAAGATAAAGAGAAGGAGGAAGTGAGGATGGAGGCTGCAGAGTGTCCTGTCCGTTCTGCACATGTGGGCATAAAAATCAGAGGGGATCTGAGGGGAGCCGCGTAGTGTTAATGTCCGTCATTAAAACTGGAGCCATGGGGCTGGAAGTGGGTTTAGATGTGTGAAATGGAGGCGAGTGCACGTACGTTCACATCGCCGCTCTACAGAGAAAAGAAGACCAGACGCCTGGTCAGAGGCTTTCACTGCAAGTTTTATTTGTGGCAACACAATAAGAACACAATAAATTAAAATAATATTAAAAAGACTCTTTAATGACTTTTAAGGTCGTGCCCTTTTGACTTTTATTTTTAGAACTCTGAGGTTGAATGTGCAGAAACTGAATTTGGGCTTTTATTTAGGAAAACAGTTGTTGAGCTTTAGTTTAGTCAAACAGAAAGTGAAGCATTTGCCTGATTTGTGGTTAAAAAAATAGATTTTTACATTTTAACTGATGACATAATCACACTTGATAGTTTTTTTGTAAAATGAAAAAAAAAAATCAACTAGATATAGAGAGGGGCTCAACTTTAATGTTTAAGGGTAAAGTAGAGGTGGCTCATTTTTTCAGGATTGTAACACATTTTGAGTCAGTTTTCACACCTCCTTTTCCCTCAGGAGGATATCAGGAGACACAAATCCAATGATGTTAAAACATTGATCCAGCAGGGGGAAAACAAAGACATTTAACTCAGGAATTTTTGAAAAACAGTAACAGTTAATGGGTCGGACAAAGAAAAGCTTTTGTCTCTTTTTATTCCTGATGTCATGTACCTGCCGTTGCTGTCATCATATTTGACAGCATTGATTAAAATTGCGATGGCAGCGGTGATGGTTGCAGTTTCATGTTTCCTGTCTGTCGAACAGATGGACCCATGTCCTTGTTTCCTGCTGTAAATGGGACTAAAAGCTCTTTTATTGAGCCGCAGTTTTATTGCGCTATTGATTTCTTTTTTTTTCCCCCTTTGTCTGCTGGGCTAAAAATCAGTTTGATGCTTTTGAAAGTCGCCGCTCGCTCACTTTCACACCTCTGTATGAAAACATAACGACGGCTGATGATGCAGGAGCAGAACTAAGAAACAGCAACGACGGCAGCCGCGGTTTACAAATATGTTTAGGGTATTTCACAGAAATTTAGTTGCAGCTTACATTCTGAGTTTACAAATTGTGAGCGCTCATATACACAAATACCACTTGTTGTTGTTAATGTCTCCCATATATATATATATATATATAGATATAGATACCATATATAGAGAGCAGACAGTATAACACTGTATGTCATCAATATAAAAGTCAAGTCACAATTACCAAATAAAGGAGCAGGAGTTGCTCAGGTTTATGTGTTTATATATGAATACACTGCTCACTCGAGTCACCCAGGTGCCCTAGCAATTTAACAATAATTAGCAGTTAGCACAGACAAGCCTCATATATTGAATGGAAGCGATTTATTGCAGGTCTTTGCTTCTTGAACACTACAGTTTTCCAGTAAACTACAATAGCAGTGCAGTTGAAAACAGGCTGGTAAAACGCCAAACATGAAATACTTTATTTTAAAAAATGAGACCCCACATCATTTACGGTGACTTAGCGTTGATGCCTCTACTAATTCCTGATTAAAACCTGGCTTCAGCATCCATCCATCGTTCAAGTTAGACTAACAGTCTTATGTCATTGCACTTGTGAGTGAATGTGAGCAAACAGACCTTATTTGTTTAATGAAATCATCTAATAATCACAATGACGCAGGTCTTACACAGCTCATGAATGTGTTAGTGTGTTGTGTGGCTGTCAGGCAGACTGACCACAGGAAATGATTGCCATTGGTAAACTGCTCACTCTCCAAAGCATGATCATAAAGACTTGGTCTTTGGAGTGTGTGGCTGTTGTGAGTGGATGTCTTAAAGAGACAGTACTTCCGGCAGTACTTTGTTAGAGTTCTTAATGTTTTTTTTTTTTTTTTTTTCTGGAAGTTTTCATCAATTTTTTGCCAAACTCCATAAGAGGAAACTGAATAAAGGATTTCTACACAGCAGCACTATGTTTTGCTGCTGTTCAGAAGATTCAGCCTCAGTTCAACATGTGGAAAAAATATGCAGTTGTGTATTTGAAACACAGCAGCCTGATTTTCTGCACTTCATGCAGCCTGCTGTTCGTCTGCCATCCATTCCCATGATCCCCTGTTGCCATTGCTGCTGCTGCCAGAGGATCAGCGTGTGTGTGTGTCACCAGAAGGTCACATGTTTGATCCCTGAACCAGTCGGATTTCCTGTCCCGGTGCCTCTAAGCAACAGCAGCAGCTAAAGACGCCACAGTCTCAGCTGAATGAAACCAGTCTAGAAACCAGTGGACCATGTGAGTCAGCATGAGTTCATCTTAGGTTTCCTGTGTGACAGTGAAGTGGTCATTATATGAAATGACACAGCCATACCTTTACACAAGGTGTGGGCACCATTAGGGTGTGTTCAGGTAGAAAAACATTTCAAACCTAAGCTGTCATGTCAGGGCCCAACACCCAATAAAACACACTTAAAATCTAATTTTTATAAATTGACTATTGACAAAAGGTAATAGATACTTTGGGAGGAATTGCTTAGTGTGGTCGTTTTAATCAGTTGACTAGTTTGACCATAAACTAGGAATGGTGTCTCATAATTTAGTCTGTAGATTGGTTAGATCTTAGACTTAGACTTTTTTCTTCTTTTAAATAGCAAGGTGCTGTTTAATTGCAAATTAACTAAATGTAGCTAAATTAAAAAAAAAACAAACATGTTTTTTTCAATGTTATTTTTAAGTTATAAAGAGACTTTGAGTAATGAATGGACATATACTATGAGTTATTACATTTTAAATTTGGGTTTTGTATTTATGATATAGAAAAACAAAAAGTAAGACTATTGTTACCATGACAATGTTCTGGGGATGGGGACATAAGAGGATGGGGCTAATTAAGAAATGTATAGACTGTCATGTGACAGACAGGAGGTGTTTTAACCTTACCTTATCTTTTGAGTGATGTTATAAGAAATTAAAGCCCAGATGACAACAAATGCAAATACACGCAGACAGGCGCGTGCACACACAGGTGGCGTCAGACAGTTGGGTGTTGCATTTGAATAGTGTGTGTTTGTTAAGCTGGATCCAACAAGAGTAGTGAATAGAGTAATCCCCCTTTGTGCTGCAGGCCAAGGGGACCACACACACACACACACACACACACACGTATGTCTGTCTGGACTGTCCGACTCACTTCAGCCATGCACGTCCATCTGGGTTCTAAAAACAGACATCAAAGCATCTTTTGATTGTTAGTGTGTGTGTGTATTTATGTGTGAAGGCACAAAGCCCTTGTTATTCAGGTTATTTCAGTAAATTATGTGTGTTTCCCGATGATAAACACACACCTGTATGGCCCAACAGAAACCCACACAACTGGTTCCTGCTGCCAGGATTTTGCGATCCGTCAACATATAGTAAGTGTTTTGACAGACTGACCTGTTTTTATTTGTAACTGTATTTTAATTTTTTTTTCAACTAGTCCAGAAGGAAAATCACTCCTGAAAAGGCACAAGGGAAACCATTCTATGTACCTTTTTTTTTTCTTTAAAAACTAAGGAAAAACTAAGTACATTTCACTCGGAATTCCATGGGAACATGTTTGCACTGGTGGGTGTGGTCAGTCTCCACCAGCATCCAATAAAACACCTCCTCATGAAGTTTGGGGGGCGGGACTGAAGAAATGGGTGTTATTTTTGGGAAACTTGACTTTATTGGATGGTTTGTTGTGGTTGTGGCTCAGCACAGTTTCAGCCCTGACATCTGTAAACTCACATCGGCTCAGTGGGAACATCAAAAAGGTCAGGCACTTATAGTTTGGTTAATTCACTCTTCTGGAAAGAAGAAGAATATATAAATATTATTATATTTTTAAATGTATTCTTCAACGTTTTGTATTGTATGTCGTCAAAGCTGATGCATAATAATGATGTGCACAACTACTGTTTATATTAGTGTGTTCATGTGAAGCTGCAACTCTTAGTTGATATCTTATAGATTTATTAAGGTTATATAAACTGTGGCAGGGATCCATTTAAACTGTAAGAGCTTCACGTACTGATGGGCTGTATTAATAATACTAAAGGTTTTTACACTGGAAATCTTCTGAGTCAATTATTCAATTCAGTTTTCCTTTGTTTTTCTTTTGCTCACCCTCCACTGACATTTGCAACGTATCACTGTTGCTGGATTTTGGCAAATTTGTTCATTGTAAACAACAATGAACTTTGAGCCGTTTGTTTAACAAACTGAGAAATTGGATGGCATCTCTGCCAAATATGGGAGCGGACTGCCTCAGTCATGTAGTAATTCAGTAATCATACTACATTAACAATCGCACCAGTTGTGAAATAATGAATTAGTTCATTAGTTTTCTTTTGTTACTTCTCAAACTCTACACCCCAATATTCAAGACAAACCATGTACAATTTGTTTTTTGTTTTTTATGTCCTGCCCATGCCTGGGTCTGTATAGTGTTCTTACAGCTGCATATTGTGTCAGTGAGTGTAACTGAGCAGATGGCTCCTGTAATGTGATGTAGTTTACACATTAACATGTTGACACACACACAGAGGCACTAAATGTGAATAGTGAACACACACTGCGGGTGGTAAAGGGAACATTTAGCTGCTTTGTCGTGTACCATCCAAGACCCGGGTGACACCCCAAGACCCGGGTGACACCCCCCCCCCCCCCCCCCCCCCCCCCCCCCCCCCCCCCCACTCCCCCCTCCATATTAGGTCTGTGAGTCAACGACTCAAACAGTCGCTGCCTGCACCATAATAAAAAAAAAGAATGGTCACTGGCCTTAAAGGCCTCACCGGGTCTTTGAGGACTCTGGAAAAGTGCCACCACCCACTGCTCAGTCTTTGTCATGTAACACATGGAGAAGTCCACACTGCGTCATTATCATTCAAACGAGCCTGCGTCCAGACGTGTTGGAGGTCTGCATCAGCGGTAATCTGTGTCCTCAACATCACATCTGAAGATAACAGATGACTTGAACATTTGGTGCAGGTTTATACAGGTAGTAGGTTGTACGAATAGAAATAATGATAAAGAGTAACAACAGGGGCAGGTAATGTGGCCAGATACAGGCAAAGTTTATTTAAGTCAGGGGTGAAAACCCACCAATAGTTCACCAGTTTTCTATACTGTGGTACAAAGGCTAAGTACACACACAAAGGGTGAACAGAAAACACACCCGAGATCAAACTGGGACCTTTTTCTGTAAGGCAGGAGCACCACTGTGTGACCACAAATAAATACATTTTACAGTAATACCACTGTGTTGTATAGGCACGGTCACTGTTTGAAATACTGTATCATTAGCAAAGACTCTGCAGCTCAGGTCTTTGCATGTATTTCTGTGAGGGAGTAGGATGTGGATGTAGCATGTAGACAGATGTTCAAACACACACACACACATAGAGCACAGGGTTGCTGGTTTGTTGGTTGCTGAGAAAGTTCCAGACTGTGGGAAAAGGGATGAACTGGGTAATTTCCAGCTCTCCCGAAACCGTCCCAAAGGACAGACATACACACACATATATGTGGACAGAGCCGTGGACATGTGTTCATTAACATAAACAAACAGGAACTAACTGCTCTTTGATTTAACCCCAGTTATATTTGGATTTGGAAACTCTCACGACCCAGAACTTAAAAAAAAACATGTTTTGATTCAAATAACATGTGGAGCAGAGCAGCAGTGAACTTCAGTTTCACATTCACAGTCTCTGGTATTGGGAGTACTGCGTCTCAGGGTAAAAGAGCAGTTCAGCATCTCTGTAAAGCGAGGCTGTACTTTACAAATGACTTAACTCGAACCGTGCAGTAAAAGTGAATGGAAACCTCCTTACTAAGAACATGGCTGCTATCTGGTCTACACACTATGTTGGTCAAGTCTGTGGCTGTGGGTTCGAAGATCTATATTTAGATTTTCCTTACTGGTTCAAGCCCCATTAAGCAGCTATAGAAATTGTACAAGATTGTTGGTGTCTCTCTTTGCTCAGTGTCTGTGGGAAGCTGCCCCATGCATGTATTTGGATCATTGTTTCTACAGTGGCTGTAGTTTTTAAACCATTCACGCATACTCAAGAATGTACTCAGGACCATTTCGAGCACCGGCTACTCGGATCGTGAACGCTCAACATGGTGGGGACATTGACCTGTATGCTTTTAGCTGCTTTCACAAAGTTATTTTGATTAAATCCTTTAATATTTTTCACAAACCTTCAAAATATTTATCTAAAAAATATTGCAGACTGAAATTCCGTCAACCTGTATGGCCTGAGTTTCTGTGCAGACTGGACGTCAGCCAGCTCGCCCTATTGTTCCAGCTCTGTTTCAGCAGAGACGTGTGAAATAGGTTCAGAGGTCACAGGTCAGGATCCAGGGGTATTTGGCAGTTTCAGTGAAAAATGTGACAAAAGAAAGAGGCACACACACATAAAGTTTCTAGAGTGTAAACACACAGTTTCACACAGTATTCACACAAACTGACAGAGCTACGCCCATGCGTGTACACACGCACCCTTATTTACAGGGATGCAGGGGTAATTAGGTCTTTGTATGAGTGTGTTTGTTTGTGTGTGGGGTGTTCTGTCTGTGTCACAGCAGGGTGCAAAGCAGCTGACACTTAAAATAAACAACTGGACAACAGCAGCAACGTGTGGCCCTAAAGTCTCTTTTGTTGTTGTTGTTGTTGCCATGCTGTCATTTCTGCTTGCTACATGCTAACATTTGGGACATTTTTGTCGGCGGTTAGATTTCAACAATAACATGTAAACCTTTCATATAATACATCATAAGAGGAACCACCTTCAAAGAGCTGTCACCAAAGAAAGTGCATGTTTAACCAATGAAACACTGACATTTAAAAGACTTTGCACCTTATACACAGATTTAACAGAAAATACAATAAAAAAATTGGTTTGGCCTTCAAAAAAACCTTTGGAACATTTGGCACTTAAGTGCAGCTGTATCAGCAGATCAGTACTGCTTATCATCTACAACTGCTTTATCGACTTTATGTCAGCTTTGTGAAAGTTGGGAGGAGCTTTAGAATAATTGGTAGAGGAAAGTATACAAGGTTCAGTTTGCTTGTTTTTTTTTTCATTGAATGATTTGTAATTTACTCTCACTCACATACACAGTCAACTTAGTGTTGCAGTCAGAGGAGGAGTGGAGCATCAAGAGTTTGCTTCCTGCTCAGCATGCTGATCCAAGTGTGTGTGTGAGATTCAAGGGTTTGGCTTGAATCAAGGTCAATAGGAGAGTGTTCAGAAAAAAAAAGCCCGTATGTGTAGCGACCTGTGGTGGAGAAGGTTGACAGAATGAAGGGGCAAAAAGGCGAGGAGAAAAACACTGTTAGTGTATGCAGGTATTTTCAAGAAGGAAGTACGGTAAATACTGAACAGCCTCACGTGTAGAGACAGTTTGTCAGTGAAAAGCACAAGAATCGATCCAACCCCGTCAGAGATCTTCTGGGAGTCTGGCAGACCTGGAAAAGATGGATATTCACTAAAAAACAGATAAAAAAATTCAACATTAAACTCCTACCTCAGGGTGTTGGCTGGCCCTGTGCTAAGTCAAGTGGCACGTTGAGTCTGAAGAGTCTGAAACTGCAGGCTAACAAAACTATTGGCAGTGAAAAAGGAGGTACAGAAAGATATCATCATTGTCATCATTATGTTGACAAAATAGCTAACATTTCAGTTCCTGATTCCAGAGATAATCATCTTCTTTTTCATGGTAATAATAATTAAACATTATTGTCAGTAACAATAATGTTGTTCTTCAGTTTACACTCACCTAAATTCCAATTCCAACTTCCTGCCTGTTGCTACAGTTAGCATTGCTTCTGAGAAAGTTGGAAAAGAGGATGACACAAGGGCAGGAAATGAACACTGAACTGAATGGCTGTGGGGAACATGTTCTATTATTCATTAAGACCAGTTTCTTCTTTTCCCCAGTTTTTGGTGTCTTCTTTCCCACTTCTCTTTAAGGCAGTTGTGTTAACAACATTTTGGCGTACACATTCATTCATTACCTACTCTGTGTCTCTGTTCCTCATCTTCCAACTCTTGTTCTCAAGATCACTGCAGATAATTAGCTTTTATTAAACATCCTAAAAGAATGAAGCAACAGTCAACAGCTTCTTGGAGCCAACATTGATTTAACAGCCCAACCCCTTCTTTATTTAATCAATATTTTGATTGTTAGTCATGTAGAAAAGTTTCTTGGTGTTCTTTTGTCTGTTGAACAGTCAAACAAATGATGCAAATGACAACAACAGTAAATAAGCAATTGTACATTGTCCCTCTGGGGCGCAGGTGCTGTATTGTGACAGTGTTTATTTGTGAGGCTGTGTCACAGCCGGAAGTTTGTAGTTGTTGACTCTCCTGCTTCTCGTCAGCACATTGGTGCAGAGGTTCCTTTGTCATTTTTCTGTGAATTACAGCAGCAAAAAGTCATCGCTCTGTCAACACTAGTCTGAAAACCCAGTCACCTACATATCTGACCAATCCTTCGCAGTAGCCTGTATTTGTCTAGGTAAAAAAAAGATTACAACAAACTTACCTGATTGAATTTTCTCTTTATATTTTCAGAGCGGTGCTGTCCTGCAGCAACATGGCGGCACTCAGGTTGAAGGTTCTCTCAGTTCTGGCCTTCTGTCTGCTGATTTCCTGCAACGCTGCTTCTACTGACATCCTCTATCGGGTTCCAGAGGAGCAGCCGCCAAATACACTGATTGGCAGCTTGGCGTCAGACGAGGGCCTGCCTGACACAGGCCACCTTTACAAGCTGGAAGTGGGCTCACCCTATCTGCGTGTGGATGGCAAGACAGGTGACATCTACACCACAGAGACACCCATCGACCGTGAGATGATGCGGGACTGCCGCAACCTGTTTGAAGGCAGAAAGTGTTTCCTAGAGTTTGAAGTATCAATCACAGACATGGTGAAGGGCATTGGGTCGGGGCCACGGCTCATTGAAGGACGCATCGAGGTGCTGGACATCAACGACAACACGCCACAGTTTTCTTCGCCCATCTTGACCCTTTCCATCCCAGAGAACACCCACATTGGTGCCCACTTCGCTGTCCCAACGGCCACAGACAAAGACTCTGGCAGCAACGGCGTAGCTGAGTACTCACTGAGCACCGGGCCTGAGGCTGACCAGCTCTTCAGCCTGCAGATGGCCGTGGACACAGACGAGATGTTGCCACAACTAGTGGTCAAGGGCAACCTGGACCGTGAGAGGAAGGACTCATACGACTTAAATATCAGAGTGGTGGATGGAGGAAAGCCGGCCAGAGCGAGCAGTGCTTTGCTGCGAGTCACTGTTACTGACCAAAACGACAACGCGCCAAAGTTTGAGAGGAGCCACTATGAGGCTGAACTACCAGAAAACAGCCTGGTGGGCCACTCTGTTCTGCAGGTCAGTATGTGGACCATGATTACACCTAAACACTAATTATAAAGTTAGTTCACACACACATGGTCAAAACTATGCATATCCTTTTTAGTCCAGGAACTAGAATACAGTAACCAGCTGAAGACAGAATCCATTTGGACTTGAACCCTGGACAAATCACCACCGGCTGTTGTCTCAATGTCAAATTGCCCTTTTAAAGCAATCATTTGAGGCATTAAACCAACCTTTTTTCAATACCAAACTTCATTGAGAAAATCACTATTTTCACTATTTCTTTTTTGCTTGCTGGAACATACTGTACACTAGGAGCAGGCGAACTACTGCTGCTTCCTGTGATAGAACTAGGTCACTTCGGTAAATCTGAACATCAAAGTCAAACTCTATCAGGTCTAATAGGACTGTGTTTGTCTCAGCTTGACACAGTGCTCCTGCAAAGTAGCCTTTGCCTAACGAGTGATAATATGTGAAGGAGATTGCAACAGAGGAAAAAAGAACCTCATTTGGGGCATTCATAAGTAATAAGCCTCAAGGCTAATCTCATCAGTGACATAAATTAATTCAAGCACTGCATCCCAGGTGAGATAAAATAAGAAAACTGTTTTTTGTTTTTCATGTTTGTAACCTTTCCCATTCTACTTTGTTGTCAGTGTTCTCACATGCCCCCTCCCCCTCCCACACCTTAGAGCACAAAGGTGATGTTGAATTAGTGGTTAATATGTGCCTACATGTTCTGATCCCACGCCCCAATTTCACCTCGCTGCACCATCTGTGTGTACGCGTGATTGAGCAGCAGCGGCGGCGGCAACTCATTTGTCCACAGGGTTCCTGCTGGATGTCTGCTGAGACCAAAAACAGCAGCAGATTTTTCTTGGTTGAACTCACTGCTTGGTCTTTCACTTGTCTCGTGTGGGTGCACAAACGGGCAGAGACGCCAAAAAACAAATATTTGTTTGTAAACTCAGTCCACATTTGAACTTTGACCTATAGAAAAAACCCTCAACGCGTCACTATGGGGTGTTACACTTCAGTATCACTCCAAAGGATAAAGTTGCACGTGTGTATGTTAGCTAAAAGCAAGCTAGAATATCTCAATGTGTCCCTTGATTTATGGACACCTTTTAATACAAGACACCAATGCTCACTTAAATTAAAACCTTAGATGCAGAGTTGAGATGATTTGAATATTCATGACTTCATGGATGTTGAATTAAAAGATAGAGTTTACGAGACTACATTCAGATAGATTAATTTTATTAAAAGATGCCAAAAAGTTGACTTGTGTTTTGTGAAGTAAGAAGTAAGATTGAAGTACTGATCTAATCTGCTGTGGTAGAAATGTGCAGGCACAGATCTGAGGGACAAAAGAAAATTGGAACAAATTTGGACTCAAGTCAGAAACAAAAAAAGAAATTATCTTTGAGCAGACGTGTTTGAAAACATACTGTGAGAGAAAATGAGTTTTACATTTTTTTTTAATTAGCAGAACATTCAATTCAAAACAATTTTGTCTGATGAATGAAAAGTTTGTAGAAAATAATTCTGTCTCATTCTTTTAGTGCTTCTGTCCATTTATAGCAGAATATGGATCAGATCTCCACCATCTCATTAGGGATTATAGAATATTCGAACAAAGTGACAGATTAGACACACTGATAGTGATTAAATCCCTCCAAAATGAATTGAACAAATCCAAGTTGAACCAGGATGTAATGATAAAGTCAGATTTAATTTTAGATTCACACAACAGGCTGAAAAAGACAGTAGCCCTGTCTGCTGTAGATCTCCATTTCTTATTGTACATTTCAAGGCGAAATTTGCAATTTCTGTGTTGTGTACACAGACACAAAAAAGAAGACAGCCTGAGGACAGAAAAGGAAATCAGTAAGGTTGTAGTGTAGTTTCAGGTTACTGCTGTCTTTAACCTCAACCTCTGTGACATGAATCAGTGACTCTGAGCCCATTGGAAGAAAACTATTATTTATGATGTAAAGTGTGGATGAAATAGTTGAGGGTCTGATTATTTTTACATTATTACATGTCAGATTTGAAATAGTCTGGTCATCAATATGGATTGACTGGCTAACAGCTAGTCTAACTAGCATGTATGCTACAAAAGTGACTGCAGCTATAATTACTAATACTGTTTCAGTTATTGAACTTTATAGTGATGCTAAGCAAAATACATTTTAAATGTTTTTATAATATAAGTACAAAACAGAGGTTCCATAAAGCTGGCTGACAAAAGATTGTTTTATCTTGGTTGGAATTTCTTTTCAGCTAAAATCCCACAAATATAGCATTCATTAATTAAACATTTATAATTCTTGTCAAACAGAAAACTGCATTTCCCAGAGTATTTGCAATCACAACGTCAGTTAATGACTAACCCCTGTGTCCTTGGCTCAAACAAAACTGTTTTATAAATAGCTCAAAATAATTCCAAACCCTCAATGTTTGTCTTGTTTTCTAAGCAAAAAAATATATATTTAGGACTTCCAAGTATTCAGAAGATTATTTTGCTGAGTGCACGTTTGGCTCATACCCAGCTCTGCTTTAAGGGAGTAAATGGTCTTAAAATGTTTAAAGGAAAAAAAAACCTAATTACATTACAGCAAGTCCCAGGTGGAGGCTGCATGAACGCTGAATGAGCAGCACCTGGGACATTTAAATCAGCTGTTCAACAACTGTTCATTTAAAAACTACACGCTGTCGACCTACATTTCTTCAGAGCAGCAGAGGCGTTGAAATGAATGCAATTAAAAGAGTATTAGATCTGTAGACAGAATGGCCACGTAATGAGTACATCCTAAATGACATTTTGCTGAGTGCTCCTAGCAGCTAACTGACTAATTACTTCCAATTACTTTGGGTTTTTTGGTGTTTGAAAGCTGGATTATGTCCCGTACTGGTCCATCATCTATGGTCTCTTAATGGGCCTGAAGGAAACCACAGCTTTTTTTTTCATAATGGTTAGGACATTAACATTCCCTTATCAGACTGCATGCACTGCCCGTTAGATGTTGCTGTGTGGGTGTGTGCACGCAGCTTTGATGCTCTGTTATATCTCACACACAGCAGATGAAACTCCGCCTTCTGGGTAAAACACAAAGGACTCTGTAGAGTGGCATTAGCAATGGTTTGGAATTCAATGATTCTAAATACTTGATAACATTTAACACAGGTTATAGTAGGTGATGGTGGGTTCTTCATGTCTCATCAACACACGCCATCAGAAAAGAAAAGGAATTTGAAGATTTTAGTCACAATAGGTTAACATTTCTAAAATATATTTTTTTAATTATTGAGGAGAGTTTTGTTTACCTGAAAAGCTGAAACAAAATCAGAAAACCCCATGTGAGACACAGAGAAGTCTTTTTCTGAATCGTACGTCCCAGATAGTATAAAGCATGTGGAAAAGCCTTTGAGAATTGAAAAAAAAAAGTTTTAGATGGAACAAGACAGTGTGTCCACAGACCATTCTGACTGTAATGTACCGGGCCTGAAATTGTTTTAATTTATGTTTTTAAATCTTCCCTCCAGTCAAAAATCTCCTTTTGGTTTTTGTCCCTGTAGGTCAGAGCCAATGACGCTGACATGGGAATCAATGGAGAGATTGAATACAGCCTCCACCAGGCATCAGAAACTGTTCAGAGGCTTCTACGCATTGACCGCTCCACTGGCATCATATTTGTCAAAAACCCAGTGGACAGGGAAGAAGAGAACTTTCTCAAGTTCTTCGTCGTAGCCAAAGATCGTGGGCCAAACTCCAGGAGTTCAAAGGTCTTAGTGAACATCAATGTCAGAGACCAGAATGACAACGCACCCGCCATAGAGATCCGTGGCATTGGCTTGGTGACACACCATAATGGCGTGGCAAACATATCAGAGGACATGCCTGTTGGTACCCCGGTGGCGTTGGTCCAGGTGTCTGACCGAGATGAGGGGGAGAATGCAGTGGTGACGTGTGTAGTGGCAGGTGATGTTCCATTTCAACTGCGCCCTGCAATTGAGTCAGCCAATGATCGTAAGAGAAAGTACTTTCTGCAAACAACCACCTTGCTGGATTACGAACGTGTAAAGGATTACAGGATTGAGATTGTTGCTGTGGATTCAGGGAACCCGGCCCTGTCCAGCACAAACTCACTGAAAGTCCAGGTTACAGACATGAATGACAACTCGCCTACCTTTTCCCCTACATTGCTTGAGGTTGACTTTGCAGAGAACAATCACCCCGGTGACAAGGTGTTGGACGTTGTTGCGACAGATGCAGACAGTGGTACCAATGCAGAGCTAGCATATAGCATCATTGAACGTTCGGCTACAAGGCTCTTTGAGATTGATGGCAACACTGGTGAGGTTCGTGTGAAAAACCAGTTAGATCGAGAAGAGACGGAACGTTATGAGTTCCGCGTGGCAGCAGCAGACAAAGGTGTTCCAAGCAAAACTGGCACCGCCACAGTGGTGATTAATGTCCTGGACCGCAACGACAATGACCCCAAGTTTATGCTAAGCGGCTATAGTTTTTCTGTCATTGAAAACATGGCTCCACTCAACCCTGTAGGTGTGGTGACTGTCACTGATGCAGATAAAGGTGACAATGCAAGAGTGAGGCTCTTTGTGGAACCGGACAATGGCAAGTTCGTTATCCAGAATGGCACAGGAACCATTCTTTCCAGCATCTCCTTTGATCGTGAGCGAGAAAGTACCTACACATTCCGTCTGAAGGCTGTGGATGCTGGTGACCCTGCTCGATCCTCCTATGTTGGTGTGACCATTAATGTGCTGGATGAGAATGATAATGCTCCCTATGTCACCAAACCTTCAAATTCCTCCTACAAGTATTTGACACCTGTCACACCACCAGACACCCGTGTTGAGGTTGTGGAGGCTGAGGATATTGACTCTGGGCCCAATGCTGAGCTTGTCTACACCATTACAGGTGGTAACCCATATGGGCTGTTCCACATCTCTCCCACCACCGGAGAGATTACACTGGCACAGGAATTCAGTGGCAAACACAGTGGACTCCACCGGTTGGTGGTAAAAGTCAGTGACAAAGGCAAGCCTCCACGCCACACTACCGCCTTGGTCCATGTTTTTGTAAATGACACCAAGTCGAATGTCTCTGTCATCGAAGCACTAGTTGGACACAGCCTCTACACCCCTCTTGACCGTGACATTGCCGGGGATCCCAACTATGCCCATGGTCAGCGCAGCAACATCTTGTACGGATGCCTGGCAGGAGCAGCAGTTGTCATTCCGATAATTGTGGCAGTTGTAATCATCAGGCACCGGCTGCAAAAGGAAACAAAGAGTGGCTATCAGGCTGGCAAGAAGGAAAGTAAGGACCTGTACGCTCCAAAGCAGGGTCCCAAAAATGGCAAAGGAAAGAAAATCAAAAAGGGAAAGGCTCCTAAACCTGCAAAACCACTGGAGGAGGATGAGGAGGCCAGCCTGCAGAAAAGTCTTAAATTCAATCTCATCAACGACGTTAACGATAGTCCCAGAATCCACCTGCCTCTCAACTACCCACCAGGAAGCCCTGATCTGGGCCGCCATTACCGGTCTAATTCACCCTTACCCTCCATCCAGCTGCAGCCTCAATCACCATCTGCCTCCAAGAAGCATCAGGCTGTTCAGGACCTCCCTGCCACCAACACCTTCGTGGGAACAGGAGACAACAACTCCACAGGCTCCGACCAATATTCGGATTACAGCTACAAGGCCAACCCGCCAAAATACAGCAGCAAACAGGTAGGAGATTACAGCAACACTGCAATGTACCACAGGGACATCTTTTGGACCAACCGGGTGTACTAGTGGTATGCTGGGATTCACTTTGGCGTGGTGTTTTCTTCCACCAAAGTTGCACTGATTTCTTCCTACATAGCACCCACCCACAAACTGACATTTTCCATCTTAGACATTTTTTTATATTATTTTTTTGTTTATCATCTCTGTTCTGTTCCATTCTGTTCTTTTTTTTTTGTTCACCACCACATGGACACCAGTAATCAAAAAATGAAGGATTACACCAAGGATAGACCACATATGGGCTTGCATACAATTGAGTGCAATTCCTAGGGGCTCTTAGTTGGTAAAGCTAATATTTTTTGTTAGTGGCAAAATATTTGATTTCCCTAATTTGCATTGTACACTGTTACAGTTGCTTTCAGAAGTTTAATACAGGTCGAGTTCACACTAGTATACCCTATTTTTGAATTTTTTTGATTATTTCTTTGGAACAAAAGCAAATGTTTCAAAATTGCTTTTCTAGCTTTTAGCACTTCGGTCATTTCTGTTTTATGCTCACTGCATATTAAGACACAAGTGATACTTAACTGAGAAAAGTACCAATGAATGAAGTAGGAAAATAACTAAGTGACTTGCTGGTACACATATCTTATTGTTAGGCTAACATTAGAAGGCAAGGGACTTGACTTGCGATTTTCTGAAATAAAAGGATTTCTTTCAGTCACCAGCATAATGTGAAGCAATAATCACATTTATTTCAACAAAAAAAGTTTAATTTTGCTGATTTAAAGCAAAGAAATTCCCTTCCTACATCAACACCACAACTTTTGACTGCTGATATAAACAACCCCATATATGGGTCTATCCTTACTTTTTTGTGATCAATTTTTATTTTAATTTATGATTTACTTTCACCTTTTCATGTTTGGTTTGTGTTCACCCTTCCATGGTGTGCTGAAATGAATGACTTTTTTTTAATAAAACACAAATGTCCGGGATATTTGTACAGCTGTTGAGAGATGCACAATGACTCGCCCATTACATTTGATTTTGTGTCTTTGTTCTCATTCTTCACCTGCTCTGTGGTTTCTTATATTCTCAAGAGCTGGCTCAAAGTAATGCTGCTCTTTGCGTTTGGATGAGTTTGTTAAAATGTGACAAAAATGTGAATGTGAGTTTTTTTCTACCCCTTTTGCATAGGGTTTCTTTTTTTTTTTTTGTTTTACTAGCCCAAGAACTAGTCTGACTGAGTAGCAAAGTAGAGAGGAAGTGAAGGAAAGACATTCAGAAGGTGGTAGGCTGCTGTTACACTTTTCAAAATCGAGGGAAAAAAAGGTACACGAAGACTAAAACGTCCATTTCTTCACCTCTGCACCTCCTGTCAGTTGGGCTGAAATACGACTTAATTTTGCCGTGTTCCCAATCAGCAGGGCTGAAAAGTCAATTGTTTGCACAGATTAATGGCAGGTAATTTTCCAGTCGCCTGCCTTCTTATTTTACCCAGAGTGCCTTGCTCTATTCTATTTAATGTAAGAGAAACAAAGCAGGGGGAGGGGAGGTTGGTTTTGGTGAGGGCCATTAACTACGTGATCGAAATTCACGCCACATCGGCTGTTTTTTTTTTTTTTGTTTTTTTGTTTTTTTTTTACTTCACATTTTGTTTAGTCACTATGTCAAACCCGGGGCCAATGAAGATGAGGTTTGTCACGTGCACTGTGAAACCCCATAAAGACAATCACGCGTTGTTAACTTAGCGACTGTACATATTTATATATACAGTATATATTTGTTGCCAGAGATGAGGACGACATGTTTTGTTTGTTGATAATTCATCTGCTTTTCATGTTGCAACACTATTGTGTTTTTACTTTTACCAAAGACCCTCACAACACCACGGACCTGATCGCTCCGTGTGTCTGTAAAGTCCAAATGAAGCCGAAGCTGAAGCTCAGGTTGTATCGGTCAGTCCAGCAGAAATACTGCCATTGTTAGAGGCTCTGTAATACTACCACAGGGTTAATGTTTAGCCTGTTAACATTGGAGCCTGCGGGCTTCACACTTCACATGAATCAGACTAAAAAAAAACGTCAGCCTCATATCAAACTCAGCTCCAACACACACGAGGATCATGTACTTCAATACTCTCTGAGGGGAAAATTGTGTTCCTGTTTTTGCTATTAGTTTTGTTGTGTTTTTTACAACCAGAAAGGATTCCAATAAACATGTTGCTTAAATGTTCAACTGACGCTGTGCAATGACTGAGTGGCAGGGCCACATAGGTGAAACTAATTGCCATTTTATTTTCCTAACAATTAATTAGTTATGTGTCTTATTGTTTACTAATTAAGGCTTCAGTACCGGAAAAAACACAAAGTAGACAACAACAAACGCATTAATGAAAAAGCAACAAGAAACGCTGGATTGTAAGTATACAATAGTCTATGGTCGAGACTTATTGGTCAGTAGTCTCTAATTTTGATTAAATGATTAAGGAATGATCAACATTAGTAGGGTAAGGCAAAGTAAAAGGTAAAAGTAAATGCGAGTATCATCAGAAAATAAATTTATTTTTTTAAGTAAGAATTTAATATTGTGGTTTATTGTACATTTGATTTAATCTGGTGGTCTTATTGAGAATAAAATCACGCTCACATGCACATTGGCACAACTATCTAGAAAACTGATCTAAGGAGTTTTGATTATTAGTGGTCAATAGTTTTAGCCCAGCCTCAGGCAAATAAAACAATATTGTCAGCATAGAGAGTGGCATTTACACTATCGATTATATTATTGATGGGTGTTGTTAACTCAAGAAGACCTGTGTTAAAATGCCAGTGGCCACACATTTCTGTTGTCAGCATGGACGCAGTTGCAGTTCAAGCTCTAAAGCTTCATCATGAGGGTCTGTGTAGGGTGTGTGGCTGTAAGGAAGGGGTTAGGGTGTGCACACAGTGGGGTAATCAATAACGAGGTCAAGACAATAAAATGCTGTTCCATTTATTTTTTAATCATAAAATTAAACCTGCAGCTGACACTATACAGTGGGCAGCGCTGCCATGTCAGTTTAGCAGAGACCACTTTAGACCATTTTCTACAAACAATGGGCTTAATAACAATCCCTGTGTTTTTCTGCAGAGACTGGGAAACACAAGAGGAGATAAATTAATATTATTATTGTTTATTTCCCACGTGTACTTTTGGATAAAGTCTAGCTTATCTATGAAAAAATATATATTCTATGTAGTTTTAGAAAGTCGGAAGTAAAGGAAGGAATTAGTTATAACATTAGTCCAGTCATCATCATTTAATTCAATCATTTCAATTCAATAACATTTTGACTATGGACAGAATCATTGATTTTGAACAACATGCAGAATTATTACTTGAGATACTGCACAAATATTTAACACTTTAGTCCAAGACAAGGATGATGAGAAAAATGATAATAAAAGTTTCCTTAGAAGGAGGATTCAGTGTCCTTGGCGAAGAACCAATAAAAACATCTGAAGAGTTGAATTGCTGACTAAAAAAAGTACTTAGCAGAGCACTTAGCAGAGAGGAGCTCCCAACAGCAAATAAATACATATTCACAGTTTGTGAATGACTTCACATTGTGTCCGTTGACTGTGCATCTGTTGAAGGAGAGACTGGAGCGACCCTCGCTCAGCAAGTCACAGCTGCGGCAGAAACATCAGAGCAGACGCAGAAATGAGCCACTGCTATAGCCATATCACAAACATGAAAAGGAGCAAAAATACATCTGTTTATGTACATGTGTCCGTGCAGTAATGGAATTCATGTAGACGTGGCCCGATGTTGTGTCAAACAAATCGCAGCCGACATAAACATCAGGTGTAGGGTATATTTGAAATTAAATGTGTATGTATATATATATATATACATATATATATATATATATATGTCATACACTTTATCTAAATAAATGATTATATTTATATGCTAATAGTTGAAACAATTACATTTCTTAACACACAATTTATATTTCTTCCACTGCAGAGAAGCCAATTGCCCTGTTGTGAAACCGAGCCGAGGAAGTTGCTGATTAACATGTACATCAACACAGCAGTGGTGTTTAGATGATAAGCAGTCATAACATTAACAAAGCACTGAGCACGTCACACCACGCCACTGCTCCCAGTCCTCACATTCATGACTCCCAAAATAGAAATGTCCAAATTCAAAGAGCTTATATGAACGTATAGATGGTCTGCCTCTATAAACCCACCATCTCCGTTTGCCTACCTGCTGGCATGTGGCCCACACATGGACACACGCAATGACGTTGCTGGACTTTGAACCTGCAGTGAAACACAAGATCAAAACGAGATAAAGAGCAGGTGCTGGTTCCTCTCGCAGTCAGAGGTCAAATATCACTCAGGGATGGTTATTAGCAGCCCAAAGTGAGGGGTCACAGGTTAATGAGGTCAGAGTTTTACTGTGGCACCTCCCCCCCACCACCACACAGACCTAGCCCCGAGCCCCAGTCTGGACTCCAAATTAACAGTTGGGCGACGACAAGCTTTTTTGCTTTTTTTTAACCAACTTTGTGGTCTCTATGGTAACACAAAGACCTGTGTGTGTGTGTGCTGACTCACTATGCTGACCAAATCTCCCCCTCCCACTTGTCTTCCCCCCAGTCAAACACAATTCCTCCTCCTATGAAGAGCTCTGCCCTTTAAAGTGGAGTGCGTGTAGGTTTGCGTGCGTCACACTCCTGTTAACGCACCGACCCTGTAGGAGCATTAATGGAAACAGTCGTGAGATTTTGTTCAATATTTGAGAGGTAATAGTTGAGAATTTTGGACAGAAAATCAGCCTAAAAAACCTACAAAGCGACAAATGCTGTAAATATTTTATCAAACTATCTCCGGGCGCCGAGCCCAGTAAGACAGCACTGTTGGTATGACATAAAAAGGCAGGAATTCTTTATAAAATAATTTTTAAAAAGTACAGCGAATACACAGTAAACTCTGATTTTC